TCTCTCTCACTCTTTCACATTATCTCTCCATGCCATTTTTTTTTTTACTGAATACACTAAATCATTTAGCGTATTCAGAATACTCCAAATAATTTGACTATTTTGCTCTTTTTTAATTTTTTTTAATGAGCTCCTTATACTAATTTTAACAAATATCGGACTTCTTTCTAAAATTTGGCCGGATAGAGATGATAAAGAGACACCAAGTCGGCCAAAAAAGAGAAAAGCAGGGCTGAGGCTGAGGCTGAGGAGCAATTATTAGGTCCTTTCACTGGATGTAGAGGAAGGTTCGGTTTTAGCCAAAAATAGGTAAAAAGTGCAAAATACCGAGTTTTTTGAAAAACTCGGTATTTTTTTCAAAAAACTCGGTATTTGCACTTTTTTAGGCAAAACCGAACCTTCCTCTAGGTCCTTGCACCGGACCAAATAAAAACTCGAGGCTGAGGCCTAGGCTGAGGCTGAGTCGGAGGCCGAGAAAAACTGACTATTTTAAAAATCAAATTTAATCTTATAACTTAATAATTTAAATGGGCTGGTTTTTAATTATAATATAAATAGTGACCACGCATATCATGAAGATCGATTAAACAAAGCAGATAAGTTCAATCTTTGCAGAAATATAAGCCCCCGCATTCCCAAGCAGAAATCATAGCAGCAAACCACTCTTCTCTCCTCTGCCAAATAGCAAAGCAAGAGATAGCGAGAGAAACATGATCGGGCACATGATCGGTAATGTTTTGTGGCAGGGAACGAAGGTGAAGGGCCATCTCGTCCTCATGGAGAGGAACGTTCTTGACTTCAACGACTTCGGTGCAACTGTCGTCAATAGTATCCAGGACTTCCTCGGCCAGCAAGTCTCGCTTCAGCTAGTCAGCGCCACCGCCGGTGATTCCAGTGCGTACACCTTCCACGACCTTCGTATCAGCGATTGTCAAAAAAGCTCTTAATTTTATTAATTAATCGCATAAGTTCAATAATGGCGTAGTAATTAATTAGCTAAAATGATTTTTAAAAGCTAAACTTTTTGGGGTGGTGAGTGATGTCGAGCTGAAATTTGAAACCTGTGCAGATAACGATGACAGAGGATTGGTCGGCGAGCCGGCGTATCTGGAGCCGCCGCTGATCCCACTCCTTCCTACGGTCATCGCCGGAGAGATAAAATTTGGGGTGACGTTCCACGTAAAGGAAGGAGAAGGGATTCCTGGCGCAGTAATCGTGAAGAACCGCCACCTGGCGGAGTTCTTCCTCAAATCGATCACCATCGAGGATTTCCCCGGCAAGGGCCGCATCCACTTCGATTGCAACTCTTGGGTCTATAATGTCACCAAGTACACTTACGACCGCGTTTTCTTCGCCAACGACGTAATCGAAAAATCAGTCTTTCTTCGTTCTCTTTTCTCTCTCTCTCTCTCTCTGATCAAAAGCTTTTTGCTTTGTAGACTTATTTGCCGAAAGACACGCCGGGACCGCTGAGGCCGTACCGGGAGGAGGAGCTCCAGCACCTACGAGGAGACGACGTGAGCCGGCAGCTGGAGGAATGGGACCGCGTGTACAACTACGCGTATTACAACGATCTCGGCAACCCGGATCTGATGTCGGGCCTCCGTCGGCCCGTTCTCGGCGGATCAGACAAGTACCCTTACCCTCGTCGCGGCAAGACTGCTCGCCCTCCGACCAAGACTGGTAAGCCTAATAACTGAAGGTGTGAGTGTGCGAGAGATCAAAGGTGTTAATTTGATGATTGATTGATGTCGGAGGGAACCTTTGCAGATCCGGAGAGCGAGAGCAGGTTGTTCTCGCTGGATATGAACATCTACGTGCCGCGCGACGAGCGTTTCGGCCACCTTAAGATGTCGGACTTCTTGGGCTACACCATCAAGGCCGTGGCCAAGTCGTTGGTGCCTGTTCTTCAAGCTGTGTTCGACAAGACACCGAACACTTTCGACAGCTACGAAGACGTTCTTAAGCTCTATGAAGGCGGGTTGCCGCTTCCGGATATTCCTCAAGTGCAAGCGCTGATGCAGGCCTTACCTCTTGAGATGCTGAAAAGCATACTCACCCCAGCAACAGGACAGCGCAGTTTTCTCAAGTGTCCCATGCCGCTAATCATACACGGTTAATTGTTCATCTATTTCTTCTCCGTTTTATAAAAAACACTCCTTTTTCACTCTGTTTCTGATTTATTATTGGGCGGCTCTGACTCTTTTGTTCCAACTTTTGAATTTGAAGATGATAAGGGGATATGGAAGACTGACGAAGAATTTGCGAGAGAAATGCTGGCCGGAGTGAACCCTGTCGTCATCGAAAAACTCAAGGTATGACTTTGATGGTAAGCTCGGGAAGCAGAGCGCAAAAGCAAAGAGGGCTAACTGTTTATCTTTCTTGAAGGAATTCCCGCCAACCAGCAATCTCGATCCCACACTGTTTGGAGAGCAGAATAGCACGATTACAGCAGAGCATATAGAGAGAAATCTTGGCGGCCTCACAGCAGAGCAAGTAACTTCCTTTAATATCCTATCACCAGTTGTTAATTAGCTGGTTTTACAGTTGAGAACAGAGAGTGACTTCGTTTCTGTTTCATATAGGCACTGAATGGGAGCAGGCTCTTTATCATCAACTATCATGACGCGCTTATGCCTTACCTTTCACGAATCAATTCAACCTCAAGCAAAATCTACGCCACCCGAACGCTTCTCTTCCTGAGAGACGATGACACTCTCAAGCCAATCGCCATCGAGCTCAGCCTGCCGCATCCGGAGGGTGAGAAGCACGGCGCTGTAAGCACCGTCTACACGCCGGCAGATTCCGGCGTCGAGGCTGCGATCTGGCAACTAGCCAAGGGCTTTGTCGCCGTAAATGACTACGGCGTACACCAGCTCATTAGCCACTGGTGATGAATCCTATTTCCTTGTTTCTCTCTCTCAAGCTCTCACTGTTTGCTTACAAGTGCTTTGTTTCTTTCCCAGGCTGCGCACCCACGCAGTGATGGAGCCGTTTGTGATCTCAACGAACAGGCACCTCAGCACACTTCATCCCATCAACAAGCTCCTCGTCCCTCACTACCGCGACACCATGAACATAAACGCTCTCGCTCGCCAGGCTCTTATCAACGCCGGCGGTATCATCGAGTTCTCCGTCTTCCCTTCCACATACGCTATGGAGTTGTCGTCCGTCATCTACAAGAGCTGGAATTTCGCCGACCAGTCCCTCCCCGCCGATCTCCTCAAGCGGTACGAAAGCAATCTAAACATATAAAACCAATTGCAGAATTGAGATTGGACAATTGCTAACTTAACAAAAGTTGAATCTTTTATCGCTGATCACTTGCTTTTGGGCAGGGGAATGGCGGTGGAGGACCCATCGAGCCCGACTAAGCTCCGACTCGTGATCAAAGACTACCCCTACGCCGTGGACGGTCTCGCCATCTGGTCGGAAATCGAGTCCTGGGTGACCGAGTACTGCTCCATCTACTACCCAGACGACTCCATCATCCGGGACGACGCCGAGCTCCAATCCTGGTGGAAAGAAGCCGTGGAGGTCGGACATGGCGACCTCAAAAACAAGCCTTGGTGGCCGAAGCTCAACTCCCTGCCCGAACTCGTCCATATCTGCTCCACCATCATCTGGATAGCCTCCGCCATGCACGCCGCCGTCAACTTCGGCCAATACCCCTACGGCGGCTACCTCCCGAACCGCCCAAGCCTGAGCCGGCAGTTCATGCCGGAGGTCGGCACGGCCGACTACGAGCTACTGAAAACGAACCCCGACAAAGTGTTCTTAAAGACCATTACGGGCCAATTGCAGGCCATTCTTGAGATATCGGTGATTGAAATTCTGTCGACGCACGCGTCGGATGAACTGTATTTGGGCCAGCGGGCGAGCGAGGAGTGGACCAATAACGCGAGGGCGCTCAATGCCTTGAAGCGGTTCGGATCGAAGCTCAAGAACGTGGAGAAGAGAATTGCCGAGCTGAATAAAAATAAGAGCTTGAAGAACCGTGGTGGCTCTGTTAAGCTAGACTACGAGTTGCTATCGCCCTATAGCGGGCAGGGGCTCACTGCGAAGGGGATTCCTAACAGTATCTCTATCTGATCGATTTGAAGAAGCCGGGAGTGATTCGTAGCTTACTGTACTAGCTTTAGTGGAATAAATAATGAGTATCTGCAGAGTTTAGCAAGTGATTAATTTGCTAAATCAGTGTAGCAGTACCAAGTTCCAGTGTTCAGAAAATAATTGTGGGTACTAATCCACTTTGAATATTTCGTGAGTTTTTCGGTTTGGTACTTATTTCTGTTTTTCTTTATTAATTAACACGTCATGCAAATTTATCAGTAGAGCACACTACTTTGGACTTGGAATAATACTTAATATTTATAAAATGAGTTTAATTATAAAAAATTATGTAAATTTGAGCTTATAACTTGGCCTCTCTATTGATTTGGGGATTGTGCCTTATAGAATTAGTCACACATAGAATTATGTATAAAATAAAGAAAAAAATATTGGAACATTAAAATTATAGAAATCAAAATCATCAGAAAGAGGAATAAGAGTATAATCACTTACAACGATCATAATACTATTTATAATAGAAACGACGGATGAAAAAGGCCCGAAGGGATTTCTCTCTCTCTTCCCTTCTTCCCTTCCTCGACTCCTAGTAAGAAAGGAAATAGTGGGGAGAGCGTTGAATATAGGAATATATAAAGTTTTTCAACCTGGTGCCTCAACATCACATGTTCTTTTCATTGTTATTGTAGAGTATCTGCGCCGTCGCATCAAATTATGAAGCCTTAGCATTACAACCCCTAGAACTGCGGTGCCCGTATGCATAGCGCCGTAGCTCCCAACACATAATTTTCATATTTTAAAAAAATCATTTAAAACTTTTGAGTTGTTATAGTCAGGCTGCTTCACAATGCTGCAACACCAAATTTGGAGCATCACGATGCTTCACTCCCTCTATTTAGTCTTTATGATAGCGCTGCATCGTCGGGGTGTGGAGTGTCGTAGCACTCTACTATTTGTATATCTCCAAGCTAGCAAACTATAAAACTCCACAAAGCTTAGGTTAATAGTGTCATGGCATTCTTCGGTCCTACCAAAAAGGAGGGGGGAACCCTCCGATGAGCTTAACTGATGGAATTGAGGTTCGATGCTACAACACAATTCAATTGATCGACACAATCAAATTCCACAAAAACTAACATTCATAATTGCATACCATGCCGACCTGCTCTAGATAAACTCATTTATAAATACAACAACTTTTTTTTTTGGAGCAAACACCAATCAAATCGAGTTGACCTAACTTGAAACTGATCATTCTGATTTGAACTGGTTTGGGCTAACTTGAGCTCAAACTTCTTGAAATTTTAAATTGTACATGTCAGGTTGCCAAATTTTTTATTTTGATAAGATTTGAATAATCACAAGTTGGGTGTTGAATATTATAAAATGATGCCATGACACTGAATCTAGTCATTGTACTTGCTAATATTCATGAAGGGGTAGGGAAAATTAAATAAAAAAAAAAGATAATTTTTTTTTGGGGGACAAGGAGTATCGGCCTTCGGCCACTAATCTCCCCGATCAACCTAACGGTCCAACCACCCCATAAATATTCAATAAACAGCATGGTACGTGGGATGCCACCTCATGAACCTTATGAAGATTTATTATTTACTATTCAATTATTTCATGTGTGAAGTAGCTCATAATTATTATATTTTTTATTTATGTTTATTATGTGAGAATATGCATGTTAATAGATGAATAACTCTTAGGACAAAAGATAAAAATTTTAATATTAAGAACTCATAAAAAAGAAAATAAAATGGTTTTTAAAAAAGCCTTGGACTTGATACTGTAATATCAGATTCAGTTCAGAACCAAATTCCAAAGCCAGATCCTGGATAAAAGGTTTTGTCGCGGCCCGGTGCGAGCGGGATCCGTCCCGGATCGGGTCGGGTCGTGACAATACAGACCTTAGAAACATGTAGGAGGCTAGGTGGCTTAAGTATAGGCAATTTTGTGGATAACTTAAGATAGACCCAAAGTAAACCTAACTTATCCCCTTGAGACAGTGGGCTCAATTAGCCCTACTTAGGTTGGCTAATCATATTCTCACGACAATTACTAACCTACAATTTCCTTATAAGGAGACATAAGAGTTTATGGCCTGGACTTGCTTTTGACCCTACTTAAGCACATGTTCACTAACCCAAAAGGTCAAAATATTTTGGTCGTTAGCCAAAGCCCTCAACCAACAGACCAGAATGAGCTACATTAAATGTTATTTTCATCATAAAAAGATTAAAGTTTTCAATAATACTATGATTATGATAGTCATCAACCATCACTTTAAAGATTGTGGTAAGTAATGAATAATAAGAAGTTAGGTGTTGAAGTTTATAAATGGCATCATCATGATTTGTTATTTATTCTTTTTTAATTACCATGATTCATGAGTATTCAAATGATAATGAACATCGATATCAATTGATAATGATGGCGATCATAGAAGACGTCAAAGAACAGGTCGTTATAAGTTTATATATCAGTCGATGGATAAAACTTCTCAAATGAAGATTTTCTTGAATATGTAGGAATACAATATATTTATTTATTTCTAAATATCATGAATAGTTTTTAAAATTTTCTAAATAAATATTATTTACCTCCCATCTTCCTTCTTTAAAACCCCTTAAAATTTATCATGCAAGAGAAATAGCTACATCCAGCAATCGAGATACTTCATTAGTGCATTGAAGCACTAATCTTTCTTTGGAAATTAAAGAGGCTAATGAACCTAATTGCACAAACTTTAACTAAGATTGTAAGTTTTTTTGCCCCATTCTAATACTTTGATTACTATTTGAGGGGACTAAGAGGGATAAATCACAATAGAGAATTGATAATATTCCATGTCATAGTCTCCTAGGCAATAAACATGGTGACTATTAAACTAACTATTGTAGTTTCTAATGTCATAATGCTAGGATCTTGGATGAGAAAGAGAATTCTTGGATAAGAGACTGAGGCAGGAAAGAGAGGAGAGAGCTATTTATTTGTGAATGGTGCTAGGGAGAAGAGAGACAAAGATAGATTTAGAAAGAAGATAGATATGTACTATTTCTTCCAAATTTTTATAGTGAATTTTTTGTGTGGTGTGGCTTCGTGTGTTTTTTTTTTCCGGTTTTGAATTTTCCAAGTTAAATCCTAGTGTTTTTTTTTTTCATTGCATTTTCATTTCTTGTGTGTATTCGTTATGAGTTTTACTTATCCGATAGACTCTACAGATTAGACACGTGTCACACTCTAGTTAACTAGAGATAACAATCTTCTCGAACCCAATTTCCTTGTCTTTGGGCTACCACATTAATATTGACTTGTGATGGGCGAGTGAGTATAGGTGAGTCACATGGCGAGTTCAAAGAGCCAAGGAGTAGTCACTTATATTCCACCTTATTATCTAGGAACCCGACCCGTTTTGAAATCGGGTCGGGTCCAACTCGGATTTTCCGGGTCGGGTCCGGGTCGGGTTTTCGTGTCGTGTCAAATATTGACACCCCTAATCTAGATCATACCAAATTATACGTAAAAAATTGTATATTTTAGTTTAGATAAGTTAATGTTAGTTGTATTTTTTATGTGATTTAAAGATTGTGATATTGTACAAGTAAATATAAAAATTTAGATATTAGATATGTAAACACATGAGAACTCTTTGGCATGTATATAAATTCCCAGTTTACTTATAATGCAAAATTCATACATAAGACAACAATCACTCCAAAAAAATATTAAAAAAATATTACAGTAATATGTTTCTTTTTCATGATTCATGAGTATACAGTCATCAAGAATACAAAATAATAATATTTGCCCATATTTCAAGTGACAAATAATAAATATGAAATTTTCATAACGTACAAAAATGACGACAACAACAAGCCTTAGGCTTTGTTTGGAACGGCTTTCTTATTGCTTCATAAAACGGTCTGGGATGACTTTCTTTCTGCTTCTTAAAGCAGTTCTTTAGTACAAAATTTTATACTAGAAAGTTGTTTTAAGAAGCAGAAAGAAAGTCGCCCCAAATGAAGCATTGGGACTGCTTTTTTATTGCTTCTTGAAGGAATTTTTTAGTATAAAAATTAAAATTTTGTACTAGAAAGCTACTTCAAGAAGCAATAAAAAAGACGTCCCTAAGGCTAGGCTTCATTTGAGACGAATTTCATATTGCTTCTTAAAGCACTTTCCTATTAAAAAAAATTAAAAAATTTGTACTAAAAAGTTGCTTCAATAAGCAGTAAAAAAACCGTCACAAACAAACCCTTAATCTCACTATCGGGGATCGGTTACTTGAGGCTTCGTTTGAGGAAACTTTTTTGTTGGTTTCTAAATCAGCTTTTTAGTACAAAAAAATTTTAAATTAAATATTTTTTTATAGAAAGCCGTACTTTTAACTGTAATAAATAATATTTAAACTCTCTTTTCTTGAGCTCTTACAGCTAACAATAGAACAAAATAAAGTTGAAACAAAAGCAATGCTGAGCATGAAAACGGAGCAATGGGAACACTTCCATGGAATTGTCACTGGCACTCTCCGCAAATACATTCCACAATTGAGGTTAGATCTATTTTTGGCCTGACTTGAACTCGTATTGAGCCCAATTTTAATCCGATTACGCTCGGGTTGAGACCCAGTCGATTGATTTTGAGCTGAGATTGGAGCAGCTCGATATTGAATTCCTTAGAGCAGAGCTCCAGCTAAAGGCATATATGCAGCAATTACTCTTCTGCAGCTCATAATATTGAGCATGTGGTGGGTTAACAATGATAAGCTCTAAAGAACAAATAGGCTTTGTTTGGGGAATTTTTATTCTCTGCGGAGTGCGGAGGGCGTCCGGAGACCAATAAAAATATGCCACGTCACCACATTAGTCGGTACCCAGTTCGGTACCCGCTCTCGATACCGCTGGATAGTGCAAGGTATCCAGTACTTAACCGGACGGTTCTCCCGTCCGGTGTCCGTACATAATAAAAGCTCTTGTTTGTGACAGCTTTAGACTACTCCTTTTCTCTGCTTTCAAAAAAAAAAATTATATTAAAAAACAACTTTATAAAACATAAAAAAAATTATCCCAAGCGAAGTCATAGTATCAGCACCTGCATCAATCTCCATTTCTATTACATTATTACTTGCACTGTCACTCCTGTTGCCTGCGCAAGCAGAATTATTGAAGTTTATATAATTATATCAGCTCTTGAATCTATTTTTATTGATATTAATAAGTATCTTCCAAAAATAAATATTTATAATTATATTAATATTTTCATTCTACAATTATTCCTTATTCTTATTTTAAAAGATAATATTTATAAAAACATTAAAAAATATGAAAAAATGTGTTTATCTTTTTATTTTATTACATCATATTTATACTTTAAATAAAAACACAAAGAATTTAAAATAATTGATATAAAATATAAATTTATCATTTACATGTCAATTAAGTTTTAAGAAATTTCTTCAAATTTATTTAATTATTTAAATTATAAAAAAATTAAATAAGCTTGTATAAATTTTCTTCAAATTTATTCCTCATTTGTAGGAGGCAGCAAACTTATGTTCATATTTATTGTCTTGATTATATTGTGTAGATCAATCGGGTTATAATATTATTTCATACTTTATTTTTGTCAGTCAAGCTCAACAAGGAACTTTTCAGGGGTTTGCATGGAGGAAGCCGGCTCCCTACTTGGGGGTTCGAGATGGAGCCTCAGGAAAAAAAATTGTCCGTACAATCGAATATCACTGCAATGTTATATGCTAGAGCGTTGCAATGTTCAGACTCAAGCTGGAGACAAAGTATGGAACGTTGCGTCGCTCCAACACCAACACTGCAACGCTGTGAGTCGGGCTGAAGATAAAGAGTAGAGCATTGTGACGCTCCAAATCCTAGCGTCGTAGCACTACGAGTCAAGCTGAGCGGTTTTCTCCGCTCTTATTTTTATTTCACTTGAAGGATTGTATTTTTTGAATTTTTTTTAAATGCATCGATCTCTTATCTATTTTGAGAAGATTACTGTTTGTGAAGTGAGCTGAAATTCTTGTGTTACAATTTTTCCAAAATTTCATAGCATATTTAATATTGGGGTGTGGCTCAGTGATTTTTTTTTTTTTTTTTTAGAATTTCATGTTTTTTTCACATTAAATCTTTATGATTTTTTCTTCTTCAATGTACTTTTAGTTTTTCTTGTATATTTTGCTGTGCGATTATACTTCCCAAACATCTTGAACTCAATTTTTATTATTCTCAAGCTGCAAAAAAAATGAAAAAAAAAAAATCTGCTCTCTTCATAGCACATCTCTTATGTTTGGCAGCTCCAAATTATCTCCAAGATTATCGCCTACCTTCCATCCAATCAAACTTAGAAGGTTTGGTCATTTTCAGTAATATTTTTGTCAATATCCTAAACCCTAAACTTGAATTTTGGAGATTGTTGGTTTAATTTGATGAAAGGAAAAAACTTGTCTGTTGTCTCTCTCCCCTCATTGGAATGCCAAATGATTCAGCTGGTTTGGCTGTTTGGTGCTCCATCCTCATTAGAGTTAGATCAATTTTTTAAATCTAAAGTTCAGTGCTTTATTGATAATAGTTGTTCCCATTAGCTCTTGGAAGGCCCATTTCAATCTTAGTTTAAAAACTTTTTTTCATTCATAAAACAATTACATTTATTTACAAAGATATAGAATAGAATATCAAGGGCTATTTCGTGGCACCAAGGATTGATTTAAGTAGGAGTAGGATTTCATTAATCCGCTAAATCCGGATTTTGGGAATCCTGAAGGGCCTAAATCCTGAAAATTGTTTGGTAACATTCATGATAAATCGTATTAAATCATGTGTGATTGTTTGGCTATAGAAGGGATTTAATGAGTGGACTCTTCCTCTCCAGCCAACGGATTTTGTAAATCTTTCGGGAAACCGACAAAAAAACAGAATTTCATAAATCTGGAATTTAGCATGAAAAGGCGAAATTTTTCGTCTATAGTGGCTTTCATTTGCCGTGAGATTTGGTTTTACATTTTGCTCAAATCTGCCTCAAATCCGGCCGAAGTCGTGCAACCAAACAGCCCCAAAAATTATAATAAAGAAAATAAAATCTAAAAACTAAGTTAAACTAAAGAAAAGGGAAGAAGAAATCACTATAAAATGGAAAGTTTTTTTTTAAGAGGGGGGGAGGGGAATTAATGAATGGAAAGTAAAAGAGTCGATGAGAGAAAATAGAGAGTAACACAGCTCATCTTAGCTTGTTGGTTGAGAGCTTATGCTTTCAACTAAGAAGTCTTGGGTTCGAGTCTTTGTGTATGCGTTGTGTGTGTGAGTTTGCCTTAAATGGCCTAAATGTCCCAAAAAAAAAAAAATAGAGAGTAAAGATCAAAAGGAGCGGCCAAAATAAGCAAAAGTAAATTTTGGATAACTCATGACAACCAATTCATTTCCAAAACTGCCTTTTCTCGGGCACGAAGAACCTAGCTTGGATTCGAGACCTGAGAGAGCAATTGCGGGGCTTAATAGTCATTTTACACTTAGATGGGAAGCCCATGATAGAGCCGATGGCAGAGCTCGCCGGAAGCTCTTCCCCATTTTACCCCTACAACGGATACCAAAAGGAAGGGGTAGGAGAGCGAGCGAATAGAAAGCTGAAAGCTGCTTCTTTTTTCTACTCTGTTGCTTATGATAGTGAACTGGAAGTCTGGGCAGATTTTGAAACTCTGAGATGAGGAAAGAGAATGATTATTTTTCTTAAGAATTCTCTTCTTTTGAGCAAAAATTGAATTTTTGACGGAGAAAGGCCGGGGAAGGTTAGCATAGGCCATGGGAGCGCATTCTAGCTCGGTGGCGATAGTGCTGATATGCAGCTGGTTATGGATTGTTGGAGCTGCTACGGCCCCCACCGGCGACTTGAGGCAGCGGCTCGCCGTTCGAAAACACCTGAGAAGACTCAACAAGCCGGCAGTGAAAAGCCTCAAGGTCTTCCTTTGCATGTTTCCCCCGTTCAAGCTAAACCTGAAATGCAGATCTTTTGTATAAGATTATTCCATCCACCCATTTTAAACTGATTGTCTATTTAGCTCTTCCTTCAAGTTAGTATCTTGGTTTGTTATTCAACAACTATTGCTATCAATGGAAGAAATTCTTCTCATCCTAACTATATTTAACTCTATCTTAGCATTCTGTACTGTTGATTTGGTTCAAATCTCATTTGTTCCACGTATCTGAACTTTGCAGAGTCCAGATGGAGATATAATAGATTGTGTAAACATCGCTCACCAGCCCGCATTTGATCATCCTTTCCTTCGAAACCACACAATCCAGGTCTTTATCTTCTCTCCTTTGTTTCTACTTTTACATTTCTTTCAGAAGCTCGAATTTATAGTGCTTTCCCTACTTTATGCATTCCTCACTTTGCAATTATTTCAGCTGAGGCCTGCCTTCCATCCGGAAGGCCTTTATGATAAGAACAATTTAGCTTCAGAGCTAAGCAAGGAGAAACCTAACAGTTTAACTCAACTATGGCATCAGATTGGGAGGTGCCCTGAGGGCACAATACCCATAAGAAGAACAAGGAAGGAAGAAGTCCTTAGGACTAGCTCAGTAAAAAGACATGGAAGAAAGAAGCGAAGGACCATCCCAAGCCCAAGATTTGCAGATCCTGACCTCATCAACGAGAGCGGTCACCAGGTAAAGGTTTAAAACTGTTAAAAGCGTTTAGAGAGTAAAGCAAGAGAGGAACCAAGTTGATACACCGATGATTAAACTCATTTCAATCAAAAGATTAGCTCATGGTGGGTCAATCAAATACTTTTGAAGTAAATTTGTAAAACCTTTATCCCATTTTGATTTGTCCATCTAAGAAAATGAATCCCCAATGACTTTTTGTGTAGTTTTTTTTCTTTTGAGGAAGTGTAAAAATCCATCCTAACATTGAAGTTTTTCCCTTTTGGTAGTTGGTTCTTTCCCGCTTTTCCCTTTCTTTCTTATCTCTCTCCTTTTCTTCTTCTTTTCTTCTCTTTTTTACATTTTTTTATGGATGCAGCATGCAATTGCCTATGTAGAGGGAGATAAGTATTATGGAGCAAAAGCAATTATCAATGTCTGGGAACCAAATATCCAGCAGACTAATGAGTTTAGTCTCTCCCAACTATGGATCTTAGGTGGCTCCTTCGGTCAAGATCTCAATAGCATTGAAGCTGGCTGGCTGGTAAGAGAGCTCTCCAATGATGTTATCATCACATAAAAGCTTCTTTAGGAAAGTCATAAAGAAACAAAATCTAATAATTCACCAACTAACATTGTTTATTGCTTACAAAACAAAATAGGTCAGTCCAGATCTCTATGGAGATAATAATACCAGGCTTTTCACTTACTGGACTGTGAGTAAATTTCCTACCTCTTTCTATACAATTATGATGTTCTATTCTATGTTGGATAATATTTGATTTACAACTTTATTTTATATTAATGTGCATGAAAATCACAGAGTGATTCTTATGAAGCAACAGGATGCTACAACTTGCTGTGTTCAGGGTTCATCCAGATCAGTAGTGAGATAGCCATGGGAGCCACCATATCCCCTGTCTCCAAGTATGGCCGCTCCCAGTATGATATCAGTATACTTGTCTGGAAGGTAGAAAACAAAGCTCACCGCCCCCCACATGCAATTTAATTCCAAAAACAAATTTACTGAAATCAAACAAAGAATCCTTGACTCATTTATTCTAGGGGTATCAATTCGGTCAACGGGTCAAGTTCAGGTCGAACCCGACTTGTCCCGGCAGTAGACATGACCCGATGCAAACGCGGCCCCTGATGCGATGCCTGTCCTCGCGTGTGGGATGACCAAACGGGTCAATCCGTGTTGACTTCGGGTTGTCGGGTCAACCCGGCCTGTTTTTCAAACATGTCAAAAATCCGAACCCGGACCTAACTCGTTTCACAAACGGGTTGACCCGAACCCAGATTTTTCCGGGTCGGATTTCGAGTCGTGTCAACTTTTGACACTCCTAATTTATTCCTTATATTTAACCATGCTTGATAAATGCAAATAATTGTATGGTGATTATGGAGCAGGATCCAAAGGAGGGGAATTGGTGGATGCAGTTTGGAAGTGATTATGTTATGGGCTACTGGCCTTCGTTTCTCTTCTCCTATTTAGCAGACAGTGCATCCATGGTGGAATGGGGAGGGGAAGTGGTCAACTCTGAACCAGATGGACGGCACACTTCTACTGAAATGGGAAGCGGACATTTTCCTGAAGAAGGATTTGGCAAAGCAAGCTATTTCAGAAACATACAGATAGTTGACGAGTCAAATAACCTCAAATCACCTAAAGGGATCGACTTATTCACAGAGCAATCAAATTGCTATGATGTGCAGAATGGAAATAATGGTGATTGGGGCAGCTATTTCTTCTTTGGTGGACCTGGAAGAAGCCCCAGTTGCCAATAGCTTTTCTTCTCCTTCCCCATTGTACTATTAACTACTCTAATTTGAAGCTTATGGACAAGTAAAGGAAATGGCTTCTTTTGTAAATGCAAGAAAGAAGCTATGTGAATCAACTCGTGCTAATTGGTGTGTTTTGTGTTTGTCTTGTTAAGGTTTGTTTTGCTTTCATTTTCAGTTGTATCTATTATTTTTATTTGAAATGAATGAGAGGAGAAAACTAAAATAAAATTTAATGTGCTATATCTGAGGTATACTGAAGAGCTGGTCGTTCAAAGTTCAAAGCTTTTAATTATTATAAATGAGGCAACTAACTATCTGACATATTTAACACAGTATTCTTAAATGTTTTGAATGTTGAATGCTGGGTGCTATATCTGACACTATACGATGGTGACTCTTTTAATAGCAGAAAATTGCAATCAGATTGCTCAATGATGCATTGATAATGACACCATTAACTTAAGGCTTAATATGTATTTGATGTAGGGGTGTAATGAGTAAAAGGTTTACTCGTCAGGCAAGCTCAAGCCAGGCATAGCTCGAGTTCGGCTCGATTTGTTTACACCCATATTTTAATATATCATCTATAATTTCATTTTTTTTGTATACACTATCGAATAAGTTGACTTATATGGTGGTGGCGGCGGTTAAACTGGGCAACGATAGTGGCTGACAAACGATCATAGTAATAATGGATGGGGGCGGGGATGATGAGTAGTCGATGGTGATAGTTATTTTTAAAATCACTCAAAATAATTTAAAATTTTATTAAGTTTTTTTAATATAACTTTATTTATTTTTAAACAACAACAACATCATCAAGCCATTATTTTATTACGTTTGGTCGGCTAGATGAATCCTTTTTCTCTATTGTGTTCCGTTAAGAGTTAAATTCTTATTTAGCTATAATAAAAAAATGTCATTTCTAATATTTTCTAATCAAGTCAAATTATCAACTTTATTTATTTTTAAAAATACAAAAACATTAAAACATTAAAAAACACACTTAATAAATAGGTTTAAGAAAATAAAAATAAAAAGTATCTGAAGTAGGCACTTTTTTTTTTTTGGGTGCAAATTTAGAGTAAGATATTGGAGTGATATATAAAGATTTTGATTTAGGGAAGATTGATGGTAATTATCAAGAATTTTCAAGGGGATGAAGCTTTAAACTCTTGATAGGATATGTGAGAGATTGAGATAATGGGATCTATTGCATTGTGCATGGCATTTGAGTAATTTAGGTTTCATTTGGGACAATTTTATTATTTTTTTAAGCAGTTATTCGTACAAAATTTTTCTAAACTTAAAATTTTGTACTAAAAAGTTATTATATAAAGCAGTAAAAAGATTGTCCCAAACAGAACCTTAATTTACGAAAACTTTATGAAGGGATTGTCTATAAAATATGAATTTAGGTGAAAATAAGTTGCACAAAATTTCACCCAAATCCCCCAAGTAATTCACATATTTTGGCATTTAGAAAGGATAAACATACTTTTTTTTTATGATTATAATGATTCAATTTATTTGTTTTAATTTATTAATCATCTTCATTAGCTTTATTTCAATTATTTAGAATAGGATTTATGGATTCCTATACTTCACTAGTTTTTAATTGAATGTTTCATAAGATGTTAATATTGGTATATTCAAATTTGTGTGCTTAACTTCTACTGGTTCTCTATCTCTCCTAATAGAATTAAAATTTTGAGTTAAAAGTTAAATTTAGGTTTCTTTTGGAAAAGCTGGTGTAGATAAAATAAATTTTTAAAGCTATTGTAATAAGCAGCTGTTTAGTACATTTTTTTTTAAAAGTAATAAAAAAAATATTGGCCAAATAGAAATTTTGATTATGATTTGAAAACAACATTGGTAAGAAATATAAAAAAATTAAAGTAATGAAAAAACAATCTTAAAAAAGAGGTTTTTCTTGCAATCTGAAAAACAAAGTGGTAAGAAAGCTGTTCCTAATGAAACTTTAATCTATATTAGAAAGTAATGAAATGCAAAGCAAATCATGAGAAAAAGAGCAAGCCTCTCATTTCATTTGCTATCATCAACCAAATTAGGTCATCTACAATCGAACCCCATTCTCCCATATGCAGTTGTCAGAGCGTCCAATCAAAAGGCATAGCGAACGCCATTTTAGCGTTTTGAACAATGCAACGTCAATATTAACGTCGCATTATTCACGAGCACAAATTTTTTCGATGCACGAAATAGGATTGAGAAAGAATATATACATAATATTCTTCTGTTTTTGTTTTGAAAATGGAGCTCGGTCGGAGTCCGATAAATGCGTGCCTGTATTTTGAAGCAGAAAATAAGTTTTTCGGTTGGAGATGCCCTTAAACAAATGAAAATATGATGAGTGCAAAGTAAATATTTCTTAAAGATCATAGAAGTTCCTTTCCATAAGGCCAAGCCCTACATATTATCCAAAAACTGCTGATGATGCAGAACAAAAAATAAAGAACACAAAAGCATATGGCCACTGATTTGCTGATATTGAGAGCAAAAGATGGAGCAATTTGTAGTGCTCTGACATAACAGAGAGGAATTCCATCAAGATAAAAGAAGTGGTGGGATCTATTAACTTTTAATGATAAGTGGATCACCGAAGCTTTTAAGTGTTAATTGCTATTTAATTACCACCTAACACAACGATTATAATTTAGTTAGATTCTGTAGTTATAGTTTCTGCATCACCAGAAGTGTATGGTGGGACTAATCATTATGTTTAAATTTTTAAATTTGCTTCACAATTATTTGATATTTTATTGATATGAAATCAAAATTGATTCATCTCTGACATATGAATTTTTATACTAAAAAACTACTTTAAAAACAGTAAAAAGACTATCTTAAACGAAGCTTTGATAAATGATACATCATCAAAAATTGATTTGTTGAGCATGAATTTTGATGCATAGTTAAATTGAAAGCTTTCAGATTTAAATTTAGAATCTTTCAAACTCTGATTTCGACAAACTAAAATCAAATTGAACATCTCAACGAGACAAATCAAATAGCACCAAAAGTAGTCCAATCCAAGTCTAAATGAAATCGATTGAGTACTTTTTTTTTCTTTTAGAACATTTAGGCCAATTAAGACAAGCTTATCAAACATACAACCCAAGACCTATTGGTTGGTAATCAAAGCTCCCAACCTACAGACTAATATGACCTGCGTAAATCGATTGAGTACTTGAAGCTTAATAGGAAATTTTAGGATTTTGATTGGAGAACTTAACAATCTTAAAATATTGCATTCTTATAAATAATCGAGCTTCTCCACGGGAGAAATCCAGTAAGAGTAATATTGCTTAATTTCAACATCATTAATGAATTTAAATGTTGAAAGAACAATCTATAATTAAGATAATCAATATGGACCGTACGAATGAGCGTTTAATATTTTGATTATATTTATAGTAGATTCAAAAGTGGTCCTTATAATATCTCATAAAGGGTCTATGACTCCAAAAAATATAACCATTACTTTTATTAATAATTTTTAAACAAATTTATCTAAATATCATAATACATTTTTTAAAAAATATAATATAATTATTCATCAAATATTTTCAAAAAAAATATTAGAAATTTTCATTATAAAAAGCTGGCAGCTTTAGAATTAGACATGATTTTTTGTTGATGTGGGCCGGCAAATTATTTTCATAATAATAATAATAATATATTAATTTTCTTAAAGCAATAACAAGCCAAAAAATAGCTGTCACTCAGAACTCTTATTACTCTTTTAAGTGTAAGGAAATTACTGCAATGCCCTTCTTGCCCATTTTCTTTTCGCTCCTATCTGCGGGATTTCTACGGTATTTAATAAAAGTAATTATGAAATTGTTATGAGAAAATTATTGTTTTAAAGAAATTATTGTGAATATAATAAATATATTATTTTTAAGAAAATTAAATAGCTGTTTCCGTTAAGTTATCACATATTAGTAATTTGATCATTAAAATTTATTTTAGATCAAAAAATAATAAATTATAATTACGTTCTGAAAAGATAAGGAAATGATAAAGCAGTCCAAATATATATTTAATTTCACTTATGGAATGTTATGATGATAATATTTTTAATTTTACAATTATATGACTTCTATAAATATTTTACTAACATTTAAAACAATAACAAGGGTTTGCAAGGTAATTAAAACAGGTCAGCTGGACGGTCCGTTTTTTTGTATAAATCGAATTTGCAATGATTCGTAACAGAATAGTTTAGACTGGCCATCAAACTAGCGAACCGAAGAACCAATGTCGGTTTTCATTTGATTGTCCGATACAATTTTCACAATTTTTTTTTGGAATGGGGTATCTACCCACTGTCATCCCGTAAAAGGTGCTTGGTTGCGTAACTAATCTCTCGCCGAGCCTGCCCCACGGATGCAGGCCTCGCAATTATTTTCTCTCTACTTAGATCGCGCTGCATGAGAGGGGAACCGAACAAGGGGTAGGGGTTCTCAACCATGCTCACCCACCAACCCAGCTAAGCTCAGTGGCCGGGGTGATTTTCACATTTCACAATCTTAAGAATTTATTTGTGGTAGCATAAATTTTTGTAAATGTGATTATGCAAATATTGTATAGAGAATAACTTTTAAAAACTATTGTAAGAAATAGCTTATTCGAATAAAAATATTTAAAAATTATAGTTAAATAAAAATTATTATTATAATATGAAAATCAAATAAGAAAACTTTTTTAAAAAAATTAATTGTATTTTAAATTATCAAAAAATAAAAAATATGAAGAACTTTGTACATTTTTTAATTTACTAAAATTCATTAATTATTAGGATAAAATAAGAGGTGCCGAACAGAAAAGTGAAAAGAAAGACAAACAAGCGGCGGAAGGTGAAAGGTTGTGAGCTGTTGAACCATAACGACAGCTCTTTTCCTGGCCCCGCGCCAGCTGTTGACAACGGGCAACCAAACAGACAGAAAGCTGGCTTAGAACATGCGCTTACCCACCTATAAATCCCAACCAATATGTGTTCAATACAAAGTACTAGTCTAGTTAGTACCACCGTTGGATTTACTTCAAACGTCGTAATCTTAACTGACATCTAAGTTATTGGAGGATTAAACGAATCTCGAAGATAATCGAAAAGTTGCAACCTGCCTATATTAGGTCGCTGTACAACAGCGCTGTAGAAGATTAGCTCATGATCAATCATTCCCGCCCACCGGGCAGCAATTGACTGACCCTTTCTTTTTTTTTTTCCTTGAATGTATTGCTTATTAGTTTTATTTTCATTAAGCTCCATACAATATTTCATATTTAGATCTGTAAATTTTTAATTGCAAAAAGGAATACTATTAAGCTTTCCTTTGTTTTTAAGTAAAGAAATTTAAATATTTTAATTATGATATTCATTTCAATCTCATTATGAATTTATTAATAAATATAACAAAATATTATTTACATGAGAAAAAAAATTTATGTAGATGACCCTCACTTGAGATAAAGACCTATTATTATTATTGTTGTTGATATAAAGATATTCTAAATTATGTTAATTGAGGTGGTTCAAATTAATAATATTTTCATTTATAGTATTATTAAAAAGAAGTTTGTGATTTTATCAAAATGAAATCATGTGTTTAATTTAAAAATTATTTATTCACAACTTATCATATATTTAAATAAAATGAACTCCAATTTAAATTTTAATATATTTTTGTAATATGAAGCTTTATTAATTTTTAAATAATATACCGAATGAAACTAATGCAAAGCTATTGAAAGAATAAAATGCAAGTCAAAGAATCAAATAGGGCTGTTAATATTTGATCGAGCCCGAAAAAATAACTTGAACTTGACCCGAATATCATGAGTTTAGACAAACCAGTTTGGAAAAGGGTTGGGCTCGGATTTCAAATCATAACCATAGTATAAATTCAGGTCAACTTCAGACCAACTTAAAAAATTGAAATTAACCCAAAAGTAACCCGTTCGTCTCGTCAATAGCAATCATCTCATTCTTGTTGGTCCACACTATACTCATCATTACGTCGATGACCCGCACTTGTCCTCGCACTCACCCAGCTCCTGCACGCAGCACATGAGCTGGGTAACCGCTCCGCACTCCCTAGCCTGCAAGCCCCCTTGCCCACTGGCATGTACTCGCGCACTCACTTGCACTCTCCCGAGTAGTGCTCAGGTCAACATATCGGGTTTGGTTGACAAAAGTTTGTGACAGGTCAGGTTCATTTTTGAATTTCCAATCCGTTTGTCTAGCTTTGTTGGATGAGTTGAATGCGGATCCATTTTGATTGGAACCGAACTCAAATCGTAAACTCATTTTGACACCCCGGAAAAAAAAATAAGAATATTATACTTCTCTTCTGCTAAGATCTGATTCTTTGGTTTTAAGTTGAATATTGGTTTGGTTTTGTAATTCTTCTGATGCATGTATGTGATTAGGGTTGGAGGTATTGAATTCTTTTGAAAGCTATTGAGGGGTACCATTTCTTTTGGGGATTTAGGATTAGGGTAATAAATGTCAGTTATTATTCCTTCTATTTATTTTCCCTCTTGATTGTAACTTTTATTTTATTTATGGTGGGTTTCCTCTATCTGTTCATGTAATTACTTGTTCTGTGGTATAATGAGATTTTATTTTTGTGATAGTGTCAATTTTTACATACTTTTCATGAAAGTGTTTTATAAAGGACAGAATGAAAGCAATCAAAATGCAGAGTGAAGGCATTTTCGTAATTTTCTGAGTAGATCTGTATGAAATTTCTTCCAATTGCTTCACTGGCCCTTTTGATCAGTTGATTTTACATTTTAAAGTAAATTAAACAAATATAATATACAATGAAATAGAATTTTAAGAATTTTGGGGATCTGTTTGATCTGTTAAATTTAAAGAAATGAATTTCTTATATTACTGAATTTTCGGATGATTAAAGGTGACGAAAAATCGATAAATTATTTATTTTTACTTCTGTGTAAATTTGCAGTAAACCAAATTGGATCTGGATCTCCAGCACCTATTTTGTAGAAATTTTTTTTAATGAATTTACACTTTTGAAGCACCAATAAAATAATTTTTTGCCGACGTTAATAATTCTTTCAAAAGAAAAAAGAACCCCAATAATTTTGCTACTACTGTGATAGCATGATTTTGTCAATTATGTAACTGAAAGTATCATTAGTTTGAAATTCTTAGCATTTTTCCAAAAAAAAAGAAATTCTTAGCTCATAAAGGGCTGATGTGATGGTTTTTTTAGGTCACCTAACCAGAAATATTCCATGCTTGTAAATGTGGCCATGGGAAGCTTTAACTCCAAGCATGATTTGTGGTTGGTTGCTTCCAAATCACTAAAAGGCTTCTGTAAAATATAAGTGGTAGCTATAATGCCTTTCTGTATTAAATGTGTTTAACCATCCAATTTCAGGTAAAATTTAGGCTGTGTTGGGAGAAAAATTATTAGGTGCGGAGTGCGGACGGGGTGAGAACCGTCTGCACATACACAGGGTATCAAGCGGTACCCAGTGGTATCGAACGGTACCGAGCGCGGTTTTATACTAGTGTGCGGACGGTTCTCCCATCCGCACTCCGTATCTAATAATTTCTCGTGTTTGGGATGACTTATTTACTGTTTTTTGAGTTAGTTTTTTACTTAAAATTTTTTATTTTTTATATTAAAAAATTATTTTAAGACTTGCAATAAAAAAGTCTCACAGGTATCGTTTGGGGCAGCTTTTTTACTGCTTCTAGTAAAATATTTGTACTTATAGTTTGAGACAAATTTTTATTGATTTTTAAGACTATTATATAGTAATTTTTTTTTTTGGGGAATTATATAGTAATTTTAAAAGGTTTTAGATATCAAATTTTTAGTACGATTTTGTTTTTTAAATAAGGAAAAATTATTGATAAGAAATTGTGATTATATTTTTAAAACTAAAATTCTAAATGAAATACTGTCTTAATGAAGCCTTCATCTTTGATTCATGAAATTTATTGAATTACTTATTAAGAAATTACATTCATAGTAGTTCAGCTTAGTATTAACCAAATATAATTAGACCTTAAATATCTATTAAACTAACACTTAGAAAATAAAACTGATAATTAATATTATAATTAATAATTACATTATTTGATACTTAAGCTAACTTTTAATTTTATTATCAATCATTATAACTTATTGATGATAATTAAAACTAAAATTAATAACTCATATTTAACATAAAGTTAATTCAAAACACATTAGATTTTATTTTTAAATGAATCAATTGTCTTAAATCTTGAATTACTTTGCCAAACAATTTCATAGAATTTAATAACTATCTTACCAAATAATTTTTAGGATTTAACGTATCAAGGGTTTACTAATGTTTCGTTTGAGATGACTTTTTTATTGCTTCTTAAAATAATTTTCTAATAAAAAATTAAAATTTTTATCCAAGAAAATCACTTTAAGAAGCAGTAAAAAAAACTATCACAAATAAAATCTAAATTCAAATTTAATAGGATTTGCTAAATCCTACTTATTACCAAACAGCCCCTTAAAAATAAAGTTGTAAGAAAACTATCTTAAACCAAGCCATAATTTTTCATTCATCACATTTATTAAATTTCTTGAAATAAACATTCAAAGTAGCTATATGAACACATGAAAGCCATAAAAAGGCAGAATTGAGTTTATTAAATTCATTTCCTCTCAACAAACTTTATTGACACCCATCATCCAGCACTTTAGGCTTCGTTTGGGACGGCTTTCATACTACTTAAAACAGCTTTTATTTTTTGTACTAAAAAGTTGCTTTAAGAAGCAATAATAAAGCCGTCTCAAACAAAGCCATAGTTTCATAATTCTTGACCCAAATTACTCATTTGAAAGCTCAATAAGATACATTAATACCACATTTCATAATGCCCACTAAATGAACTGTGAGATGTGGCTCTCAACAGTTTTGGAACTTCCTGCTGATGCTGAAACTGTCGCTCAGGTTTCTGCCACCAAAAAAATCAAATCATTTGGAGAAATATATAGAACAAACAAAGAATTTGAAATGAATGTACTGAAAGATTTAAAAACCTCATTTTTGGAGAGCTTGAAATGAATTTTCTGGTTCTTGGGCATGGATTTCTGCAGTATGAAGATGGAGAATGTGGCTGCAGCCAAGCCTGCAGATCTCAGCAAAGTTCTCAATCTAAATGTATTGCGACCACTCTTCTCTTTAGATTCGGGACCAGTGTACTCTACCATCTCCCCCAATTCTTCTCCTTCATCCTCTTCACACAATGATAAGCCTTCTGAATTTCCATCAGAAGTAATATCAGCTGTGGTCTTGAATGCCATCTCCGGCTCATCATTGATTTCTTCTTCTTCTTTCTCTTCCTCACTTTGTTTCTCATACTTGCAAAGCTGTGCAAGCTCGTCTTCTACAAAGAATAAAAGAGAAACCATACTAAGATCAAAGAACTCATATGGATTTTATAATGATGCATCCATGGCAGAATGAGTTTCAGTATGTTATTCAGTTATAACCATGGAGATGACAGTCATCAAAGAAAAAAACTTCAAATTTTCTCGTAGTTTATTCCCACATAATATATTTCTGAATGTTTCATAAGGTAGAAGAAACCAGACAAATATCTTGTAGAAATAAGAGTCCACAAACCTTTAATAACTTCTTCATGGGGTTCAGCTTTTGTAGCTTGAAAGTTTGGCTGACTTGGAGGAGTCAAATCCTGCTGCTTGATATTGCTTCCCAGACTCAGCAGTTCTTCTTCCATTGCCTTAGAAGGAAGCACTAACTCCTGAACAAATGTGTGAGAAGTTTTGTGACAGAGAAGCTCCCACTCATCAATATTCATCTGTGTAAAGCCCTTTTCCATTCGATAAGATTTAGTATTAGAGAAAACTTAGTTTGAATGAGAATGAGCAAAAGAGGGTGGAAGCATTTTATAGAAACTGGTTACAGAAGCATGGAGGAAGATAATTATTGAAGGAAAGAGCTTCAGATTATTGCATTGAACTCAATGAAGTGAACGGCTGTCCCCTTGCTTTCAATGCCCCCTCAATCAAATGCCTGTTTGCTGAAATATGAACTTTTTATGAATATAAAGTAGCCTCATCATAAATAATAAGGATTAATTATTTTGTGCGGACACCGAACGCTGTCCGGCCATTCGGAGACCAACCAGAATGCGCCACATCACTCTTATGCTTATTACCATAGCTCAGTACTACTCGGTACCGCTGACATGGCACATTTTGGTTGGTCTCCGAATGGAGTTTTGTGTCTGATCTCCGCACAGAATAATTTCTCCATCATAAGACTGGTAATAGTATAAAGGAAATTATTTGAAAGCTGAGTGCATGAATCGTGAATTATATATCAGAAAGGAAAGCACTGAGAAAAAGCTGAAAGTGAAATTTGTTAAGGTATTTCAAGTATCACAATAGTATGCCAATAATTACCGGAACGAATTCTATGCTAAGAGTAATAATATTATTATAGACTTCAGACAATCCAAATTCTAGCATGTGGAGATGAGTCTTCCCATAATTACCTGAAAAAATGATGGCTCATTTCATGCTATAAAAGTCTAAGCATCATCACAAAAATCCTCATTGATGACTACCACAAAAAAGTTATAATGGAGGCCGTTACAATACTCTTCAATTATGATTAATCATTAGAATTATATAAGAATTAGAATTATTACTTCTATAAATTTAGGGTAGATTCTTGTTGTGTCTTGGAACATTTGCGGCAGTAAAGAGATATAGAGTTTAGCGTCCTAACACTGTATGAAGGTCCAACACACAGACAAAAGAGAGAAAAAGGTGCAAGAGCCATTTTTTAGAGTGACATGCTCCATAAATATGAAGAAGATGAATGAAAAATTCGGAGTGCTCAATCAGACTACCAATATCAATTCCTTCCATTATAGAATACTCATGTTGCATTTAAGTGTCTTAATGATGTCAAAATTAAGCGATCTTGGGCTCGTTGGATTCATCTAATCGAGCCTTGATTTGATTATAAGCATATCATATTAAAAGACCATTTGATTACCCAATTTAAGCTTTGAAGCTTCCAAATATACTTTAAACCCTTGATTTGAGCCCATTTGGGCTTGGATTAGACCAATTTTGATGTTGTTGAGTTCGTCTTATTGATATGTTCAATTTGACTACAAGTTTGCTGAAATTGGTGTTCGAATAATCCCGAATTTAATTTTGTAAGTTGTCAATTAAGATATGCATTGAGATTCAAGCTGGATCAAAACAAATTTTCATGACGTAACAATTCTAAATGTTTTTCCTTCAATTTTATAATGAATTTTGTATCACCGTTGGATGTAGGAAAAGTATCAAATCACATGTATGCTATTTTTCATTCTTGAATTTTAGAGCTTCTGCACAACAAATTGATATCAAAGCCAGCTTGGCTCATTTAGTCAAAAATTCAAGATGGATGAAATCAACTTCTTATCAATAAATTCAAAAGATAATGACTTGTAATCAAGTAAACTGCAATTTTTAACCTCTTGCGTAAATAAGCAAATGAATCGTCCAAAAGCTTTTGTTTCAACAGAAAAACCAAATAAAACATTTCCAAATTGCAAAGATTCAATACCACTTCCAAGGAATACATTTATTCAATCATAAAAAAGGTGTAGAACAATATATAATTAACAACATTACAACATTATTGACTTGCGTATTTGCAAGATTCTTGTAGAAACAAAACTGACTACTTGGCTAGCAGAATTTGTATTTTGTTCTAGAGTTGGATGTAAAAGAAAAATGAAAATTCTATCAGTATAGCAATAACATTTTATAAATTTAAAAGTCAAACAATAGAACAAAACATCATAAAGCAAGCTCACGTATCCAAGAAAGTAAATACTAAATATCATTTTCATGAAGTAATTATATTACATGCTATAGGAATTTTCTAATTTCATACATAAAAAAAGTACTGCTATACATCATGGAAATTTAACAATTTCTGAAAAAAGTACTTATATTTGGAACAGAGCTGCTGCTCTCATGATAACAAACAAGTTGTTTAATATTAATAAAAAATGATTCTTACAGTACATCATCTTCTGCATTTCTTTTGCTTCTACCATCTTCATCTTGTTGAGTTAACCTGGGTAGGAGGGCCTTCTTAGGCTGCAATTTTGGCAGAGGAACCTTATATTGCATCTTCTGTAACCTTGCAAATCTTTGGAGATTCTGTTGGCCTTTCTTCTGATTGTTTTTAGCAGCAATAACTTCGGCAAAAGACTTCTGCAGTGCTAGTTTAGCAACCTTATATGTCTCTGAGGATAAAGCCCCTTCCATACCAAATTTAACAGCGTCAAGGCAAAGATCATTGTACCAAGCAACTAAATACTCTTGGAAACTTAGCCCAACTTCTGTAACTCTTTCTTCAAGAACTACATTGCTCAGGACATTTCTTGTCCATCTCTTCAGAACATAGGCCTCGGGGAGAACACGAACTCCAACAACAAAAAAGACTCTCAAGACATGCCTACATAAAATGCCACAACGCTCAAATTTGCAACAACTACAGCTTGCCTTTTGATCAGAATCATTGAAACTAACAATGTAGCCCTTATGATTATCATCTTCCTTCATCACATTATACTTGCTTATAGGCCCATGCTCCCTTTTGTCAACATGATATCCTAATGATTCAACAAACTCCTCCTGAAATTTCTCAAATACTGCATTTGTGTAAATATCCACAGCTTGTCTTTCAATAGGTGATGGTGTCTTCAAAAGGGGCTTAGAGTATACTGTAGCAAGGTCTTCTTGGGCTTCCCTCTCGTACTGAGATGACATAGCTTGATCAAATTTTGAAATAAACAATAGTAAAGAAGTTTTAGTATTGAAGTTCCTCTTGAAGAATTTATTTAAGCTTTCTGGTCTTTGAGATGGAGACAGCTCAGGAAAGAATAAGTCTGTCTGGTAAATTGAAGCCCAGAGAGGGCGAATTTCATAGAGTGATTGCAGCCATGCATTATCCCACAGGTTGTATTTATCAAGGATGTATTCCCAACGAGTCTCAAACTCCTCCATTGTCTCAGAGTCATTAATGCAATCTTTTAACTCCCTTCTTAATGCAGGGTATTTCATATAGACATCACATAACTTTTGCTTGCATCTGCTTAATATGTGCCACTTACAGAAGCAATGACGAGTTCTTGGAAATACCCTTGAGATAGCTCCTTCCATGGCCTTATCCCTATCGGTAAATAATGAAAGAGGATGATGACCACCCATGGCAGCAAGCCAAGTTTCAAAAAGCCAAACATAGGAACCCTTAGTTTCATCCATTAGCAAGGCACAGCCAAATGTAACAGACTGCAAATGATGGTTTATGCCTCTAAAGGTAGCAAAGGGCATCATGTATTTTGTTTTTTTGTAAGTAGTATCGAATGTCACCGCATCGCCGAAGCATTGATAAGCCATCCTAGATTTGGAATCAGCCCAGAAAACATTGGTCAAGCAATTGTTGTTATCGACTTGGATTGCATAGAAAAATGCAGGATTATCAGCTTGCATCCTCTTCAAATACTCCAGAAGACACTGAGCCTCCCCTCCTTCCCCGAATGGATTGACCCTGATCCCCCTGTTGAAGTTCTTCAAATTATTGAAACCGTTTGGCTCACTAGGAATTAGAGCTGATTTTGGTGAGATCATAGACCTATCAGCACACGGTCGCACTTTATCAGGTAAAGCAACCATATGAGTATGCTCAGTCTCAAGCTTAGTAACCAACCATTTACCATGATCCTTTCTGATGACCTCAATCATGGCCATGCATCCTTCCCTTGTAGTTCCCCGCTTCCTCTTCTTCTTTCCATCATCATATATTACCCTCTTGGAATGGAATCCTTCTCGAGTACACACAAACCGCCGCATGATTACTGTATCATCTTTTCTTGAACGTCGTGACTTATTCATTCGAACACCAAATCCTACATGATTTGCATAGGCTATGTAGTACTCCTTAGCTGCCTCATCGCTATCAAACTCCATTCCTATGGCTGGCTCAACAATACCATTACTGTCAACGAGAATCAGCGGCGCTGGGATTGAGCCATTTAATTCGTCGCCTAAAGCATCAAGAGCCAAAACCATTGGAGGATCTGTCGAGTTATCATTAAGATCCATGGCACTATCCCTTAACAAGCTATAATCATCCGTTAAGGTCACTTCCATCTTTCAAATCCAGACCTGAAAAAATCAACCATATAATGACCTGCATGTGAAATTAGCTGTTCATCAATGCATTTAAGAAAGAGTTTCAGGAACTTTAGCATGATTTCTTCTTTCATCAATTAGTATCATTTGAAGTAAAAGTAACAGCAGATATTTAAAAAAAATGAAAAGATATGAAAAAGTTCTTTGACTTGAAATCGTCAATTTAACCTTTTTCTTAATCAACAATACAAAAGTAGAAAGATTTCTGATTTTTCCAGCATGGTATTATGGGCTACGAAAATTCGCACCCTGGTCTTTCACAAAGAGAGTTTTAAGGATTATTCTTAAGTCAAATTTTTAAAAGTCAGATTAGGATTAAAATAAGACAATACCTAGAGATTTCACCCTCATTTCACAAGGACTTTATAATTTAGTTTCAGGTTTTCCATAGGTGCAAATCCCTATCAATAGTCAGTCTTCCCAATATCAAAAGAAAACTTTTGATTAAGGTCAATCATTAAATAAGCATCAATTTCCTAGCATATGATAGCAACAATTTTTATTTAGAATTTGAAATTTATCACCAAGAACTTAAAGCAGATAGTGGCGAAAATTATTCCAGACTACTTAGTCAAAGAAGATAGTCAACCCAATTTGACCGAAGGATCCATATCGACAGTCATGGGTTGAGTCACCCAAGGAAATATTGTAGACTTGAATTAGATGTTCATCTAAAGGGATAAATTTGAGTTGACCTTAGCTAACATAGGGCTTTAGGCTGCCCTATCAAGTATATAATATGATTCATTGCTTAAAAAATTTTAGCCATTCGAGAACATATGTGCATTGGCCATGATTATAATTTAATCGTGTTATTTCCCAACAAAGTCCCAAGAGAAGTGCTCTCAAGAGTTTTAGAAAAGAAATGAGTTAATAATACTTATATTCAAGTCATTAATAATATATATATAAGATGCTATCAACTTCTGTTCAAATTAGCGGTTTGACCAAGTTTTTTTCTAATTCAATAATCCAATGCATATAGAATCTAAACACCAAAAGAATTCATTCTGGATTACAAAATAATACCTTAATTATTTAGATTCAGAGGATCCAAACTCTACTTTACTCCGCTTGGCCATTTCCTTTTTCTTAAATATCAAAAAGTATCACAAAGTGAGGACAATCAGCTCAGTAAACTATTATCACTAATCCACCATGCATGTCAATATCATATTCACAAAAATTTAATTAAAGATTCAGTTAGTAAGAAAAAAATTATATATGTTATATGAAAAAAGCTTGTATTATTAAGAATGTTGCAAATGATGTGCTTAAATTTTCAAAAGAAAAAGCTCATAATAATAAAAATAGTTAGTGGTGGAATTAAAATGTGCAAGAAAAGATAAAAAATAAGAAGTTTTATTATAATAATTGGTTTGGATATAAAAACACTGAGTTGAGAAAGATATAAAGAGGCTCATAAGGTACTATAAAAGCAATCTGCGATGCAAAAATTTTAGTCTTTAATGATTTATATCATTGATGAACCAAAAGCAAAAAAAAAAATCAGGTCTCGTATGCAAAAAAAAAATGAAATCTAACTTACAGTAAATTTTTAAGGGCCGATGATTGCTCGCGAGTGCGGTGGAAGAACCTCGACAGCACGGAGAAAGAAGAACCTCGACGGCTGCTCGCGAGTGTTGCGGCGGTGCGAGAAGAACCTCGCCGGTGCGCGGGTGTGGGGTGCGGCTGCTCGCGAGTCGCGGGTGAGGGGGAAGAACCTCGACAGCACGGAGAAGGAAGAACCTTGACGTCTGGTCGCGAGTGCGGCGACGGTGCGGGAAGAACCTCGCCGGTGCGCGGCTGCTCGCGAGTCGCGTGTGCGGCTGCTCCTTTCGCTCGAATGGAAGCAAACAGCGGAAATGGGATTAGGGTGGAATAGGGAGTGAACCGGTGCTTTAAGTGTTTTTTTTTTAATTTAAAATATGAAATAGTCGGACACGCGTGTCCGACACGCGTGTCCGGCTTAAGTTTTTCAAAAAGAATTCTGGACACGCTCAAACCGTGTCGGACACGTGTCCCCGCCGTGTCGGGCGCGTGTCCGTGTCCGACACGTGTCCGACACTGCACTGCCTCTTAAAACGGAGTGTCGGTGCATCGCAGATTGCTTTTATAGTTTTGATACAAATTATTTTAGAAAAAAAAAAAACAGATATATTTCAAATTTATATTGGTAATAAGAACATTGCACATAACATTCATAGGCGAAAATATGAAGATTTAATAAATGAAGATAGGAATCAGATTTTTTTTAAAAAAAAACCTTCTGGGCATAATCACAAATATTGTCGTACACGATTAAATGCAAATATCGATTGCGTATATTTTTTTACAACAATGATTAGCTTTCCATAGACATGATGAATCAGAGGATTAAATTTTTTTGAACTTCTGCGTTTTCTTTCTAACCATAATAAAAATTTAAGTTATTTTGGATAATGCTCATCAAAACAATAAAGTAATAGCTCATGAAATCTAGAAAGATGTCACAGAAATTGCTGCAATTGAGATTTCAAATATTATAATCAATGATTTAAAAAATGATGTATTCGCAATTTTACATGGATCTCGAGATATATCAGTTAAAGAATAGGTTGTCGTTATTTTACGTTACGTTGATACACGAGAATGTGTTATTGAGCATTTTATTGGATTATTCATGTATGAGATATAACTATTCTAACACTAAAGTTAGTCGTTGAAGCTTTTTTGTGAAGTATAGGTTGAGTGTGACACAACTACGTTGACAAGAATACAACAGAGCAAGCAAGTTTAATGGACTATTGATTATGAAAGAAAACTCTTCAGCTTATTATGTGTATTATTTTGTACACCAGCTCCAACTAGAATTGGTAATCATTGCAAAAAAAATCATGTCCAAATAGCTTCCTTCTTTAATATTATGATTAATTTATTAAATATAATTGGTAGTTCATAGTTCATACAGAATAAGAGATATTAAGAAGAAAATATTATAAAAAAATTATTGAACAACTAGAAAGTGAAGATGTTATAAAAAATTGAGGTTTAAAATATATGCAATTATCACCACCAATTCACATGAAATGGCTAACCTAGTGTTAATGTGAAGAAGAAGAGAAGATGATATGAAGTATAGTATATGTTCATTGTGTGTCAAAAATCCATCATTGCATTATTATAAAATATATGTAATTTGCATAGCTTTTCACCAACAAATAGCAACTGTTGATAAGCAACAATGCACATCTTATATAACTTTAAAAGCTTTAGCTCTCAACTTGTTTCTCCAAATGATATAAACATAGTATATTAAACTTAACAGCTAACCTCTTCAAATTTATAATAAGCACATTAAAATCAAAGTAGAAACACTTCATAATTTATTCAATACATGACCAATATTCAATTTCCTCATAAAACCAATAGGCTTCCTCAATAAGTATACAAAGTTTATATCAATTGATTGTAACAACATTATCTGCCATTAAGATAGAGTCCAAAAAATAATAACAAGAAAAGTTTAAAAAAAATAGTTGCATACGTGAAAGAATCTTTTGGATCCCTACTAGACATTAAATATATACAAATGCAACATTGAATTTTCCATATGGATCCTTGCCATACATTAAATACAGCTTGGAGAGTAAAAATCATGTAAATCTACATTTGTTTCATTGCGGTAATAGTTTGGAGAGTAAAAAGAATGAAAACTACATCTAGTTCATTTCCAAAACAGTTTGGAGAATAAGAGGAATGAAAATCTGTCTACTTCATTTAAAAAAAAAAAGATTGGAGGACAAAAAGAGTGAAAAAAAACTGCATCTATTGCATTTTCAAAACAATTTTGAGAACAAAAAGAATGAAAATTTGCATATACTTTATTTCCAAAATAATTTGAAGAATAAAAGGAAGAAAAATCTAAATCTGCTTCATTTCCAAAATAGTTTGGATAACATAATAAATGAAAATATGCATCTACTACATTTTGAAAACGGTTTGGAAAAAACAAAAGGAATGAAAGTCTGCATCTATTTCATACTCTGTGTACGCATAAAAGAATAGATGCTCATGTTTTTAAAAGAATAACAAAAGTTCATATAATATTACTTATGAAAATAGGTAAGTATTCATTTACCCTAGAGAGTTTAGCAAAGAGTAATACTCTTTTTTTTCATCAAATATATTCACAATCTCGCATGTTAATTGAAACTTACAATAATATCTCTAACCAAGCTCATCAAATTGTCAATGAAACTAATGCTAACTATCATGTCTAATTTCAATATAGTGGAGTATACAAGATTCGTGCATGTATTATGAGTAGTATGCCATCAAAAAGTTATATAAAAAACTATTAAAATTACAACCATACAACCTCAGCCACAGTTTCAACCATTAGAAATTCAATCTAAGTTCTCTTTGAAGAAAGCAGGTCATGAAATGTCTTTCTAAAAGCAAAAAAAAATTGATTATCAAATACCAGAAATAAATCACCAACAGGCTTAACAACCTCAGCCGTTAAGAGAGAAATATAAATAACAAAGATCCACTTTATTACTAACAAAGAAAATTTTGTAAAGGAAATATATGTACATGGATATAAAAGAAAATAATTAAAGTCAAATGTTAGAAATGAATCAAAGTTTTCTGATTGGTGACACTAAACTCTAACAAGAAGACATATTGCATCTTGCTATCAAGATGATATATTTTCATTTTGTTAACATTTCCAATAAAACAAATATTGCTAAGTAACTAATCTAACGGAGAAGAGAGATGCAACAATGTAGTTTAGAAAGTAATAAATATGTATAGTTATGTCATTTAGAAAAATGTGTAGTTATGTCATATTGTCATCATCAGCTATCTAACCCACAAGGAAGAAAAGCCATACGAAATTAATGTGAAGTTTTATTCTTAGAACACCCATTTCATACCAAACCTAATGAGATATACACACACACCAAACCTAATGGAAAGAAAAAAAATGCAGTCATTTAGCTTGGGAGAGAAGACATATGCAGTTGATTGGTTTAGAAGAATCATGAGCTGCAGCCTTTGAAAGAATTTTAACTCAAGGATAGCGTTTTTTCCTCACAAAAAGGAAGATATCTCCGTTTAAAAAAGAGAAACGCTAAGAAGTTTTTAGCATGCCAAAGAAAGCCAGAAGATGAGAAAACCAAAAGAAAAAGCCGATAGAGGTCGGTTGCGTGCAGGATCAGAAGGATTGCCGACATCCATACCTCTTACATGCGACCAGGAGAACATGCAATAACCGGCCGCCCCTTTGCCCTCTCATGCTCGGCTGCACGCCACCTCCTCTTGCCCTAGGTTTGGTCGAATAAGAGGACACGCACGCACGCCACCGCCTCTTGCCCTACGTTTGGCCGAATGTGGGAGACACACGCACGCACGCAAGCGGCTAGGGGTGTCAATTCTTGACACGACCTGAAACACGACCCGAACCCGACCCAGAAAAATCTGGGTTCGGGTCAAACCGAACCCGAAATGGGTCGGGTTCGGGTTGAACAAATCAACCCATTTTAAAAATCAGGTCGGGTTCGGGTTGACCCAGCAACCCGAAATTGACCCGAAAGTGACACGAAAACTCATATTTGACACAAAAACCCGAGATTTACTTGTTTTTGACCCGATTTTGACCCTAAAATCGAGTATTGACCCAATTTTGACAGGAAAATTAGCAATTTTAGGTCAACTTCGGGTCATTCGTGTCGGGTCGGGTTCGAGTCCAGAAACATGACTTGTTTTTTAAAACGGGTCGGGTTCGGGTTGACCCAAACAATGCCGGGTCAATTCCGGGTTCGACCCGAACCCGACCTACTGACCCGAATTGACACCCCTACAAGCGGCTCCTCTCACGTACATAAGCCGCACAAATCAGGCCCCAAACCCCTCAAATTTGAACTTTTATTTGGTCCGGTCACCTGACTTAGCTTTACGTTCGGACGCTGGTAAAATAATGCCACGTGTTCTCACTATTTACTGCACGGCCTAACAACCCCGACCCGGAGCGGAGACGGGATTGCTATGTTCGCGTGTTGCTAGGTATTGTTCGGGATTTGCTTGGTATTGGTCGGCAATAATGAGAAATATCATTCTGTGAAGACCAATACCAAGCAAAACCGAGAAATACTGAGTTTTTCTCGGTATTGCTCGGTATTGGTCTTCACATAGCGATATTTTTCATTATTACCAAGGAATACCTAGCAATACCAAGCAAAACCTAGCAATACGGAGCAATACACGAACATAGCAATCTCGGGTCAAGTCGTCGGACGGCGCGGTATTGAGTAAAACCACGTGGAGACATGTTATTAGCGTCCGAATATAGAGCTACGTCAGGTCACCTGACCTAATAATTGTCAAATTGACCTAATGGCTATTAAGGAAGAAAAATTACCATCTTGCCCTTCCTAATTTGCAATTTAATGCTGAGATTTAGTTTGGAGGATTTTTGAATTTTGAGGCATTAAAAGAGCTATTTTATGACTTAATATTAAATAGGTAATTAAATTGAATAGAAATATGCTTAATTTGAAACAAATATAATTTGTGCTGAAGCGTGAAAACATATTAAATTTTATTAGGCATGCTTGCTGAATTTTGAAATGAATTTGTGTTTATTTAGATTAATTTTAGTGCACATTGAACCTATGCAGACTAATTTGGCATTAAGTCAATATTTTTTCTTTAATTTGGGTTCATGTCAATTTAATTTCATTTTAAATAGTGTTCATTTAATTTTAATTAATAGAAGATATATTAATTTAGGCCGATCAGAGTCGTAGGTCGAATTAAACTCGAATCGGGCTGAATTGATCCGATGTTGCTCAATTTAATGTATTTCGTTAAAACTTATTAATTAATTTGGTCTAGGCTCGATTCAATTTAATGGGTCTACGACGGCTTCGAGGCTGAATCAAACACGTCTCGAGTCAAACTGACCCTACATTGAATTGAATTGAATTGAATTGACTTTGACATGGCATGAACTAATATAATTTAGATTGAATTGGCATTCATTAATTTTAAGTTGAATTAATTAAATTCAATTTGGTGTAAACCTATTCGATTTAGATCAAATCAATGCGATCAAGGTTGAGGCCACACTATGTCATCCGATGTCCACCTAAGAAAAATCCTAAGGGGCTGTTTGGTATCAGATTTACAGCGGGATTTAAGTCGGATTTAGGCTAAATCCAGCCAAACAGTTTTTGTGCGCTCGTTAAATCCCGGGATTCAGTAAATCCCGGATTTACGGATTTACAGCTTAAATCCGGGATTTAGTAAATCCGAGGGGTAGCCGGATTTAAATCCGAGCGGGATTTATCCGAAGAAGCGCGCGAAAGGGAGAAAGTTACCTTCACAGCCAGCGAGCTCCCGTTCTTGCTTCCGATCAAAATGCCGTAGCTTCCGATCAAAATGCCGTAACTTCCGATCCGGGTTGAAGTCGTCGCAGGAGCGAAGTCGAACAGCCACGAAAGAGCCGAAGAAGCGACGTCTGCAATCTCTACACCTCCCGCGAAAGCAACGGAGCCGAACAGCAACGACGAAAAGAGAAGATGAGGCAAACCCTAGACGCCTCTAAGTTATTATTGATTAACTTAATTAATATAATTTAAAATATTAATACTTAAGTAAATTAATTAAATAGTTAATTGTAATTTAGTGCATAAATTAACTATAATCCTGAAATATGTTACCAAATAATTTCTCCGAATTTAACAAGATTTAACATTTAGCATAACAAACAGTTTTCAAGATTTAAAACATTTCGGATTTACTAAATTCGAATTTACAGGATTTACTAAATCTCACTAAAGTTAAATCCCACTTGTTGCCAAACAGCCCCGAAGGATGACTTATACACTATAATAGGGAGTCCTATGTTCTAGTAGAATCTTAGGAAAGACCAACCTCACCAAAAATGAGGTCATAAGTGACCACTAAGGCAGTAACCAAATAAACATATATATATATAATCAAAACTTTTAAATCAAATGAAAATACTAATAATATTAATTTTGTTAAAATAAAATATTAATTTTTTCATACAAATATTTTAATGTGTTAAAATGATAAATTATTATAGAAATAAATATTAAATTTAAGTTATAATATCAATCCATAAAAATTATACAATATATATATCTCTAAATTACAAAAAAAAACTTTATGATATAGATAAAAATAGCCCGATTTTATATGTTGTTCATTTAAAAAAAAAAAAAAAAACTTACATTTCCCAAAAAAAAAAAAAAAAACCTAACCTTTTACGTTTACTCATAGGCCAAACCCATTAGAACCTCTTCCTATTTACGTGGCCAGAGAGCCATCCACGTGTTATCGTCTCAAACTCACCCAACTTGCACCCCCGCTGCTCCTCGCATTGCCGAAATCCACGAGTTTCGCCGGCGACGAGCTCGGCAGGATGGCGAGCACAAGCGGCTCTAAGATCCCGGAATCATCTGGCCAACCGCCTACCTCTTCCCCATCCGCCGCAGCACGGGAGTGCGAGTCCTGTCGCTCCGCTCCCGGTATACCATTCTGCCGCGTCGAGTGGTCCTTCCTTTGCACCGGCTGTGCTGCCGTCGTCCACGGACACAATTGCATCGTCTCCGTAACACCAAACCCTAACTCAAATTTCCCCCAGTTCCCTTATTATCCCTACCCTTACCCTTACCCTTACCCTTTTGCCAACCCTAGCTCCGATCCAAACGCTGTCGTTCATCCATCATCGGACGAGGATGAGCTCTCTCCGGCGGACGGACAAGGGAGGGGATGGCGTCATATTCCCGGGAGAGCGACGTCTTATCGGCGGATGGAGAGCGTGATGCGGTATAGGGAGAAGAGGAAGAGCCGAAAATTTGAGAAGACGGTGAGGTATGAGAATAGACGGGCTTACGCTGAGCTGAGGCCGAGGTTGGATGGAAAATTTGCTAGCAGGAAGGATGGCGACAGAAAGGAGGCGCCGTGCCCGCCGGATACGGTTAATCAGGTGGTAGAGAACCTGGGTAAGAACAGGACGTCGATGGGGTATGTGGAAATAGATCAGGTTACGGTGAGAGCTGAAGCCGGTGGCGAATTGGAAGGATTGGTGGCTGGAGGTGTGGAGCTAGGGCAACCTGATTTCATAGAGGATGTGAGGTTTCAGTGATCTTGTTGGTATGCTATGATTTCTTAACCTTGTTTTATATTGCTCATCAATAAATGATGCTTTGATATATTTGCTTGGGGGTTTTATATAAATAGTACTGAATTGAAGTTCTCTAATCAGGTTGCTTATGACGCTGCATTTGTTTTTCTATGGAGAATATCGTAAAAAATAACAAATAACAATTACTAGGTTACTTGAGGATGCTTCTATTGGTTATAGTAAGTGGAGTTACGGCTTGGAATATAAACTGTATATATTAAGTAGAGGAATAGCAGCATAGCATGATCTTTGATCTTCTTATAGGGGCTTTTTGGCTACAAGTAGGATTAGTAAATCCTGTAGATTCAGATATAATAAAAATTGAAGGTGTTAAATCTAGATGTTAAAACAAGTTAAATCCTAATACGCTGTTTGGATCATGTTGTCAAGATTTAGTATTTATATGAAAGAGAAGAAGGTGCAGAATAAAGAGAAAGTGTGTAAATCTCTTATTCTACTTCCCTTAAGGATTTACTAAATCCAGGATTTGGACTGACACTAAAGTGAAACAGGGCAGCGTGATTTAAGAGGCAATAGAATTTATGTGATTCAATAACTGTTTGGCAATATTTGGCCTAAATCCTGATTGAATCTTTCTAAAACTTGCAACAAAGTAACCTTTCATATTTATTTCTTCTCCTTTGATTTTGATATCACACCGATGAGGTTTTATTACTATAATTTGAATTTTAGATCGTGGAATTTGAGTTCATACCTTACTGGCTGTGATTCTCTTTGGAACTTCCTTCCAATGTCCGCACCTAGAATTAGGCTGGGATGCTATATCTATATGGTATAAAGGATAAAATGCATGGTTTCTCTAGTTAGCTTTGCCAATCCATCCATATACGCATAAAAGCTATTCTTAATAATCTATGCATACTGAAACGCAATTTAACAGAGATAAATTGCCCTTGCATGTTGAAATTAGAATCTAATTCCATGTCTCCTGTGAAATTCTGGATTTATTTTGAAATTACTATTGATTTTTTGCACATAATATGCAGAATGTGTACGGATTGGAAGGGGGGGATGCTAATTAAGAAAAATGTTTGGGTCAGGGTATATATCCTTATCAAAATTTAGGATGCCTTAAAGTCGATGAATTTCTTTGAAACGAGGATGACCAATTAAAGTTTGTATTGTATTCATATCTAAATAAATCCAATGGCTTTGAGACTAATCCTGATAAAAAAAATTGATTAGGATATTTGACTCTTTTTTTTCCTTTGCTTAACTAATATGGCTTAAATATACCAATTATCTCCTTCTATCTATCATCCACACTAACTCGATAGCTGCAATGCATAGCTCATGCTTAAACAAACGCTCATATGCCTGACCATAAAACTGCAGATTACACATCTATCATGGTAATGAACCACAATAAATAAGAAACTTTTATACTATAAAAAATAATCATTTATCTTTGAATTTAATATTTCACGCTCATTCAATTTTAGTACTAATGCATATTTGAGCAGTCTAAATCAAATTTAAGACTTAAATGCATGCACAATATCCATGTTCATGTCATGATCTTGATTAAAACTGAACAATTTAATGACTGTGCTATCCTGGATCATTGGTCTAACATATTATTTTCTGGCATATATGCTATTTTTTGTTCTCATTTTTTCTGGTTAAAGCTAATTAACCAAGCTGTATATTATGCTTGATCCTGCCTAGAGTCCATAGACTGGGAAACTTGCTCTTTGAAATGGATTTAGTATATTGTTTAACTTAAAATTTATGTGGTAAAAATTAGCAAATCCAGTGTTCAAGTATTGGTTTTTTTTTCCTTGGCAATAATTCAAATTCTTGGAAGGAAATCTAACAATATTGATGATATGGGAATAGGTAAATGTTGAAGAATTGGCTAATGTCTTTATATGGTTTTGCTGCTTCTATATTAATCACTTGGGTATCGATTTTTGCTTTTGGGTGACTAGCATGTTTCAAATTAGGCGCATGTTGTTCATTAAACCCTGTAATATGTCTTGAGCATCCACTATATAAATATCACATGCCTCCACCAGTCTCTCTTTGTGAAGACACACCTAAAAAATTAAATTAAATAGTTCATTTTGGGACCCAGATTTAATTGGGCTAATTTTAAATAAAGCCTTTAAAAAATTATGCATTTTGCATAATTGAAAGTGTAGGTTTGGTACCCTTAGGTTACCCACATATATGATGAATGTGGATGAAAATGTTGTCGCTCTGCAATACAAATCAGAAAGGAATGCTTTGATTATTAAAAAAATCTAAGCAGATATACCAAAACAAACTCAGATCTCAACATGCACCTTTCCCTTAATCAGCCTGTCATTTTCCCTTATCAGACCTGAAACAGATGCAATAAGAAGGTATGAGCAACCACAGCTAAGCATACTACATTCAACCTACCCAAGTCTTTAATAATTTAAAATACCAATAATAAAGTGGAAATACTAAAATGGATTCATCCGTATTGAGCTTCAACCAGATTACTCAAAATAAAAAAGTATTTATAGATCAGTAAACAGTTTCTTTAACACACCATTCTGATGTGATTAGATAACCTATCTTAGTATAATCTAGCCCTGTTAATATAAGATTAAATGGACAAACGTGTATCTAGTTTTTTTTAAATGCATTTGCTCTTCCACGTCAACTCTATTGCATTGCCTACATTAGTTTATTGATCAGGATAGAAGAGTCAATGGTACTTTAGTTGTGAGCAATTAAGCTTGAATATAAGGAACATTGCTATACTACTACAACAACAACATCAAGTTTACATCCCACTACATGAATACTTTTTATCTATTCTGTCATGTTAAGAGTCAAATTTTTATTTAAATCTAATAAAAAAAAGGTCATTTCATATGTTGGTTGAAAATCAGCTTCATAATATGTTATAATCTTATTGGCATGATGATGTTTGCTATATATATATATATATATATATTACTTTTGGTTTTTAAGTTTAGCCATTTTCTTTCATTGAAGCATTGGGTCTTGGTTCCTTTTGGTTCATTTATCTTGATCATTATTATCCATGGTGTCCCAGCCAAATGGTAAAGGCATTATGAATGCTTTTTCATTTCTTATTAATATTTGCGCTTGTTGTTCTAAGTTGGATATGTAGGATCATTCATCTAAACTTTTCATACTAGCTTGGTCCCTTCACTTTATTGCTTCTACTTCCTTCAACTCTTCACGTTCTTTAAGAATGTTCTGTTTGCCAAAGAAAAACTAGGGTATTGTTCTCTACCTAGACAATAGATCCTCCATGCACAGGGATGCCTCATCTCTTTGTCATTATCATGACTGTAACAGAACCAATGGGGGAGACCCGGCTGCCTTGTCTAGGCCTCACTGATGAACCATACAAGAGCGAATCAAATTAGTTTTAATTCTTTATTTGGTTCAGCCACTCTTGATCATTTTATTGTAAGTTAAAGGTCAATGGACATTAATGAACCATCTTTAATTGAGGGTGCCCTTGGCATGATCAAATTGACTCAGTGGTCAAATGCTAATAGAAGTAGTTAACTCTCCATTTTTAGTGAAGCAGGGCTGCCACTTGTTTTTTGAATTCTGGTTAAACTAATAACATATTAAAAGACAATGGAGGTCGCTGAACATTTCTGAGCATGGGTAGTTTTGAAGGATATTTGATTTGTTTGTTATGCTACTAAATGCTTAAAAAATTTGTATCAATAAAATCAATTATTAATTTCAAACAGTTCAACTTAATCTCTTCATTTTAGCCACAATGGCAAGGCCTCCTTGGACTCCTAGGAAGCATTGAAGTATGGGTTGTAAGTAATTTACACCAACAATGGGAGTTGCAATGGATCTATTTACAATTAATATCTATTATTTTGAAAACAAAGAATTGCACACATACCATCAAAATCATGCATATTTAAAAATTGAACTCCTCTAGAAGAATGAACTGTCAGGTTGTTGGCAATTAGATGAAAGTGACAAATATTAGTTGGGGTTTATTAGTGCTCTTCATATTATTAGAAATAGAGATAATTCAACATTTGTTATGTATCCATACAAGACTTGAGTGCTGCATATGTAATTTTGCTTTTGAAGATTAATCATTCTTCTATTTTTTCAGTGAAATGTCAAAAGATTTAGACTCATACAAAATAGGAAATACTAGATGTCAGGTGCCCCCAACTTATGTTGATAATCAACTTGATATTGAATTGGGAGACAAAAGTGGATATTAAAATCTTCTTTTGATCTGTTTATGGAAGTACTATTATGGCAATCTCTGTCAAATATCATAGCTTTTAGATCTGGCATTAAGAGAATGAATAAATGAGATTGATGCTAGATGTCAAGTGCCCCCATGGATAATGAATCTACTCGTGAATATGAATTGAATATGAATAGAGCAAGGTTGTGATATCTTATGAATCATTCAATAAAGTTATTTGAAAGAGTAATGGGAAGCAAATTTAGTCAAATTTGATCGTAAATTTTTGTCAATTTTGGGAAATCAATTTAGTTGCATCTCAAGAAGATCTTCTATGAAAGAGATTTTTGGGTCAAGATAATTAATAAAAATATTGAAAGTAGAAAGTATTTTTATATGATTTTTATTGATCTTGAGTAGTATATGATTTAGTACCATAAGAATAGATTAAGTGTATTAAAGAAGAAAGATGCGTGTCAAATGTAAATTGAAGTTATTAAAGATATATATGATGGAGCTTTGACTGGTTTTAGAAATAGTTGTGATGCATGACATTTTCGGGTCTAGGATTTGCTAATATAAGCCTAAGCTGGATGCAAAAAAACAAGAACAAAAGATTAAAACTCACAGGTCATTAACTATAGTTTTAGGCTAGGTTTAGTCTTGTTATGCAAAATGAAAAAAAAAAAAAACTTAATTAAAATGATTATTTAAACATCACCTAAATATGAAATTTTGCAAGGAAATTTGAGAGTGAAATAATGTAAAACGATAATTAGGATTCACATAGTAAAAAAAAATAAAAATTTATAGCGACTTGCCCAAATCTCAGTCATTTACTCAAAATCAATTATAAAGCACCTATACGAAAAATACAAAGATAGAAGATACCAAATAGCAGATCCAAGTCTCATTTTGATATAAGGGGATGCTTCCCCCAGATTATTAAGATTTGCATATTGCTTGTAGAGTTCATATCCAATTGAATGCATAAGTTTTGAGAGGAAACATGAAATTGTATCAAGCATAAACTTGCTTTTATTGCATGCCTCATCAGTCTTGTTCTTAACCCAAAAAATATGTGCATCATGTTTGAAGAATTCACTTCCAACAGCACAACATTTTTGAGAGAAAATATGCGATTGTATGCATAGAATGATTTTTTTTTTTTACATCCTTCAGGGAACTTGAAAAGACCCACAATTGATAGTTTCTCAAAAACTATAAAATCTTGCTAAAATGCAACTCCTTAATTCAATAATCTCTAAGTCCAACCGAAACAATAAGTTTCCAATATAACTATTTCAATTAACAGCTTTCGATGCTTTGAAACATGTAGTCGAACTTTGGCTACAATAGGAAAGCCGTAGAAGGTAACAATCAACCATCTAATTCCCTATTAAATTTGGAAGCCGGTAGGCAACAACAATTTAGGATACAAAATCTGTTGGTGGAAAGAAAATTGACAGCTGTAATGAAGTTAAGGCCGAGGTTGGATGGAAAATTTGCTAGCATGAAGGATGACGACAGAAAGGAGGCGCCGTGCCCGCCGGATACGGTTAATCAGGTGGTAGAGAACCTGGGTAAGAACAGGACGTCGATGGGGTATGTGGAAATAGATCAGGTTACGGTGAGAGCTGAAGCCGGTGGCGAATTGGAAGGATTGGTGGCTGGAGGTGTGGAGCTAGGGCAACCTGATTTCATAGAGGATGTGAGGTTTCAGTGATCTTGTTGGTATGCTATGATTTCTTAACCTTGTTTTATATTTCTCATCAATAAATGATGCTTTGATATATTTGCTTGGGGGTTTTATATAAATAGTACTGAATTGAAGTTCTCTAATCAGGTTGCTTATGACGCTGCATTTGTTTTTCTATGGAGAATATCGTAAAAAATAACAATTACTAGGTTACTTTAGGATGCTTCTATTGGTTATAGTAAGTAGAGTTACGGCTTGGAATATAAACTGTATATATTAAGTAGAGGAATAGCAGCATAGCATGATCTTTGATCTTCTTATAGGGGCTTTTTGGCTACAAGTAGGATTAGTAAATCCTGTAGATTCAGATATAATAAAAATTGAAGGTGTTAAATCTAGATGTTAAAACAAGTTAAATCCTAATACGCTGTTTGGATCATGTTGTCAAGATTTAGTATTTATATGAAAGAGAAGAAGGTGCACAATAAAGAGAAAGTGTGTAAATCTCTTATTCTACTTCCCTTAAGGATTTACTAAATCCAGGATTTGGACTGACACTAAAGTGAAACAGGGCAGCGTGATTTAAGAGGCAATAGAATTTATGTGATTCAATAACTGTTTGGCAATATTTGGCCTAAATCCTGATTGAATCTTTCTAAACTTGCAACAAAGTAACCTTTCATATTTATTTCTTCTCCTTTGGTTTTGATATCACACCGATGCTGTTTTATTACTATGATTTGAATTTTAGATCGTGGAATTTGAGTTCATACCTTACTGGCTGTGATTCTCTTTGGAACTTCCTTCCAATGTCCGCACCTAGAATTAGGCTGGGATGCTATATCTATATGGTATAAAGGATAGAATGCATGGTTTCTCTAGTTAGCTTTGTCAATCCATCCATATACGCATAAAAGCTATTCTTAATAATCTATGCATACTGAAACGCAATTTGACAGAGATAAATTGCCCTTGCATGTAGAAATTAGAATCTAATTCCATGTCTCCTGTGAAATTCTGGATTTATTTTGAAATTACTATTGATTTTTTGCACATAATATGCAGAATGTGTACGGATTGGAAGGGGGCGGGGGATGCTCATTAAGAAAAATGTTTGGGTCAGGGTATACATCCTTATCAAATTTTAGGATGCCTTAAAGCCGATGAATTTCTTTGAAACGAGGATGACCAATTAAAGTTTGTATTGTATTCATATCTAAATAAATCCAACGGCTTTGAGACTAATCCTGATAAAAAAAATTGACAAGGATATTTGACCCTTTTTTTTCCTTTGATTAACTAATATGGCTTAAATATACCAATTATCTCCTTCTATCTATCATCCACACCATCTCGAGAGCTGCAATGCATAGCTCATGCTTAAACAAACGCTCACCATAAAACTGCAGATTACACATCTATCATGGTAATGAACCACAATAAATAAGAAACTTTTATACTATAAAAAATAATCATTTATCTTTGAATTTAATATTGCATGCTCATTTAATTTTAGAACTAATGCATATTTGAGCAGTCTAAATCAAATTTAAGACTTAAATGCATGCACAATATCCATGTTCATGTCATGATCTTGGTTAAAACTGAACAATTTAATGACCGTGCTATCCTGGATCATTGGTCTAACATATTATTTTCTGGCATATATGCTATTTTTTGTTCTCATTTTTTTGGTTAAAGCAAATTAGCCAAGCTGTATATTATGCTTGATCCTGCCTAGAGTCCATAGACTGGGAAACTTGCTCTTTGAAATGGATTTAGTATATTGTTTAACTTAAAATTTATGTGGTAAAATATTAGCAAATCCAGTGTTAAGTATTGTTTTTTTTTTTCTTGGCACTAATTCAAATTCTTGGAAGGAAATCTAACAACATTGATGATATGAGAATATGTAAATGTTGAAGAATTGGCTAATTTCATTATATGGTTTTGCTGCTTCTATATTAATCACTTGGGTATTGATTTTTGCTTTTGGGTGACTAGCATGTTTCAAATTAGGCGCATGTTGTTCATTAAACCCTGTAATATGTCTTGAGCATCCACTATATAAATATCACATGCCTCCACCAGTCTCTCTTTGTGAAGACACACCTAAAAAAAATCAAATTAAATAGTTCATTTTGGGACCCAGATTTAATTGGGCTAATTTTAAATAAAGCCTTTAAAAAATTATGCATAATTGAAAGTGTAGGTTTGGTACCCTTAGGTTACCCACATATATGATGAATGTGGGTGAAAATGTTCTCGCTTTGCAATACAAATCAGAAAGGAAAGCTTTGATTATAAAAAAAAATCTAAGCAGATATACCAAAACAAACTCAGATCTCAACATGCACCTTTCCCTTAATCAGCCTGCCATTTCCCCTTATCAGACCTGAACAGATGCAATAAGAAGGTATGAGCAACCACAGCTAAGCATACTACATTCAACCTACCCAAGTCTTTATAATAATTAAAAATACCAATAATAAAGTGGAAATACTAAAATGGATTCATCCGTATTGAGCTCCAACCAGATTACTCAAAATAAAAAAGTATTTATAGATCAGTAAACAGTTTCTTTAACACACCAATCTGATGTGATTAGATAACCTATCTTAGTATCATCTAACCATGTTAATATAAGATTAAATGGAAAAACGTGTATCTAGTTTTTTTAAATTGAACTCCTCTAGAAGAATGAACTATCAGGTTGTTAGCAATTAGATGAAAGTGACAAATATTAGTTGGGGTTTATTAGTGCTCTTCATATTATTAGAAATAGAGATAATTCAACATTTGTTATGTATCCATACAAGACTTGAGTGCTGCATATGTAATTTTTCTTTTGAAGATTAATCATTCTTCTATTTTTTCAGTGAAATTTCAAAAGATTTAGACTCATACAAAATAGGAAATACTAGATGTCAGGTGCCCCCAAATTATGTTGATAATCAACTTGATATTGAATTGGGAGACAAAAGGGTGTAGTAAAATCTGCTTTTGATCTGTTTATGGAAGTACTATTATGGCAATCTCTGTCAAATATCATAGCTTTTAGATCTGGCATTAAGAGAATGAATAAATTAGATTGATGCTAGATGTCAAGTGCCCCCATGGATAATGAATCTACTCGTGAATATGAATTGAATATGAATAGAGCAAGGTTGTGAAATCTTATCAATCATTCAATAAAGTTATTTGAAAGAGTAATGGGAAGCAAATTTAGTCAAATTTGATCGTAAATTTTTGTCAATTTTGGGTAAATTTTTGTCAATTTTGGGAAATCAATTTAGTTGCATGTCAAGAAGATCTTCTATGAAAGTGATTTTTGGGTCAAGATAATTAATAAAAATATTGAAAATAGAAAGTATTTTCATATGATTTTTATTGATCTTGAGTAGTATATGATTTAGTACCATAAGAATAGATTAAGTGTGTATTAAAGAATAAAGATGCGTGTCAAATGTAAATTGAAGTTATTAAAGATATATATGATGGAGCTTTGACTGGTTTTAGAAATAGTTGTGATGCATGACATTTTCGGGTCTAGGATTTGCTAATATAAGCCTAAGCTGGATGCAAAAAAACAAGCACAAAAGATTAAAACTCACAGGTCATTAACTATAGTTTTAGGCTAGGTTTAGTCTTGTTATGCAAACTGAAAAAAAAAAATACTTGCTTAAAATGATTATTTAAACATCACCTAAATATGAAATTTTGCAAGGAAATTTGAGAGTGAAATAATGTAAAACGATAATTAGGATTCACTTAGAAAAAAAAAAAAAAGATTATAGCGACTTGCCCAAATCTCAGTCATTTACTCAAAATCAATTATAAAGCGCCTATACGAAAAATACAAAGATAGAAGATACCAAATAGCAGATCCAAGTCTCATTTCGATATAAGGGGATGCTTCCCCCAGATTATTAAGATTTGCATATTGCTTGTAGGGTTCATATCCAATTGAATGCATAAGTTTTGAGAGGAAATATGAAATTGTATCAAAGCATAAACTTGCTTTTATTGCATGCCTCAGCAGTCTTGTTCTTAACCCAAAAAAGATGTGCATCATGCTTGAAGAATTCACTTCCAACAGCACAACATTTTTGAGAGAAAATATGCGATTGTATGCATAGAATGATTTTTTTTACATCCTTCAGGGAACTTGAAAAGACCCACAATTGATAGTTTCTCAAAAACTATAAAATCTTGCTAAAATGCAACTCCTTAATTCAATAATCTGTAAGTCCAACCTAAACAATAAGTTTCCAATATAACTATTTCATGTAACAGATTTCGATGCTTTGAAACATGTAGTCGAACTTTGGCTACAATAGGAAAGCCGTAGAAGGTAACAATCAACCATCTAATTCCCTATTAGATTTGGAAGCCGGTAGGCAACAACAATTTAGGATACAAAATCTGTTGGTGGAAAGAAAATTGATAGCTGTAATGAAGTTAAGGAATATTTTGTACAAGACACAACCATAGTGATCTTACCCAATAAAGAGCCGACATTAGCAACAATGACACTTACGAAATTAGCAGCAACACTATCTTGAACTTCAGTGGTAATGAAAATCGCAAAGTAGTGGAAGCCAAATAGAAAATAAGACAATTGATACCAACCAATAACAATATGAATTCAATTATACAAGGAACTAATGCGATCTCTGACTCCTAGCTACAACGATAATGAGGAAACACGCTTGGACAAAGATTCATATGTGCCAAAATAAGGAATTTTGAACAACTAAGCTAGGGAATTCAATAAGAGCTAAATCGGATAGCTTGCAATCTAAGTAGTAAATCATAATAGACCAAGGGAATAAAATTGTTAGAAAACTGTTGGGCCGGGATTACCGATCCCGCCTGGACCCGCGCTGGTCTACAGGCGGAGAAATGGGGGGGGCGGGCTTCAGCCGAACCAAGGAGGGACCCCCACTTAAGTGGGGGTATTTTGGGGAGGGAAGGGTTTTTTTTTTAATGTGTATGAAGGGAGCCTTTAGGGTTTAGTTTTGGGGTATTATGA